GATAGAACTATAAGGGTACCTTTTTGATTCAGGGAGGTGAGGCCTGGGGCGCTTCCCGTGGCACCTGGACCACTTCTGGCTGTGGCCCAGGGCCAGAGTCAGGCAATACCTACCCATGCAGAAGAATAGTCCCTCGTGTGTCTTTGGGACATGCCAAACTCAGGGTGAGAAGAACGTGCCCCCTCCCCACTCCAAGTGCCCTTCCTGCTGAGCCTGGAGTGAGCCAACCTCACCCAGGGCATTCTGGGAAGGGAGATGCTCAGAGGTGGCCCCCGAGCCCCTGGGGTTCAGGTGAGTGTCTGATTAACTTCCAGCCACATCCTGATTCCTTTCTGGTCCGTGGAAACAGGTCATACCATGTTTTCTTGAGTTCTGGTCCCAAGGGGGTTACAGCAGAAAATGTGGAGTCCTATTGGAATGCCCAAGAGGAACCAGCCTGGGGGTGACCAGGGCTTCTGGCCCACTTCTGAGTTTTTGACCAAGGCCATTCAGTCCTTCCTTAGGAGAGCTCCCATCCCAAGGCAGTGCACCAGCTGTGAATTTCTGCCTGAGGCCATGATGTGTCCCCAGGCAGAGGCAAAGCATACCCTCTCACCTCAGCCCTTCCATCAGTTTTTCATTGCCTGTGTTGGGAGTGACATTAAAAATATTTTAGGACCAGCGTAGCACAGGATCCACCACTCAGAACAGATCCTGCTCCTGGCACTGGAGAGGGGTCCTGAATTGGGGGGAGGGGGGCGGTGTCTATAGGAGGGGTGATGATGGGAGCACAGGGGGAACTGGGGTCAGTCAGTATTAGGTGTTTCAATAAGTTAACAAGTTCAGCTGACCGGGTGAGAGCCACTGAAGGTCAGCCCAGCCCGAGAACCCTCCACACTGTGGCTGCCACTTTGGGACACTTGCCAGAAGTCCCCATCTGACTGAGGGGGAATCCCAACTTTTTCTTTGGCTGCTGGATGAAGGAGTGGGGCAGGCAGGGATCCCTTCAATGAACAAGGAGACCCTGGGGCCCCACTCACAGAGAGGGGAGGCCCAAGTAGGACCCTGTCCTGAGCCTGCGCTCTTTCAGTGCTTTGCTTCTCTGGGCTCAGCTAGGCGGGGAGGGGTGGGGGGGTGTGAGGAGTAGTAGAGGGTCTCACGGAGCTGGACAGCACAGTCACAGGCTAGGGCCTTGGGGGCAACAAGGACAATGGCTGCTCTGGACCCTAGAGGGGTCCTGGGGGTCCCGGAAGGTAGAGTGTTAGTGAAGTGCCTTCAGCCCCTGTCCCACCACACACATGCACACAGACACATGCATGCATGCACACACTTGAGCATGTGCACACACACATATGCATGTGCACACACATTCATGCATACACACACATACGAGGGGCTGGAGT